GCTTTACCAGAGCATGCTTGCAAATAAATAAAGGTCGAAAAGGATAAAAAAATACCATTTTTCATGAAAGGCTACTTTTTTATCAATTTGATATTTGTTTCGAAAAGTAATCATAAATATTTTCCAGAATCCTAAATAGTTTTACGAATTGCATCATAAATATATCGATGACCTAGCCCGAAACCTCTGAGTTATAAAATCACTTTATGGCCTGTTAAAATACGAANGAAGTTTGTTAAATCGAAGTTTTTTGTATTATTATTATTATATCTTAAATAAATAATATAGATTAAATAATAATAACAATATTATTATCATTAATAATTATTAAGCGCAGAGCCCAAACGATTAGGAGTTGAAAGTCGAAATTTAAGGATTACCATTAAACACAAATTCTACTGTACTATTTTATATTCGGTTTTTACGTTTTTACAAGAAATAAACATATTTTTACATACATCTAAAAATTCTCTAATTACTCTGGGAAGAGGGTGAACACAATTCTTGCACCCGGTAAAACCGAGTATGATCGGCTGTAATCTAATCTTAATCATCGCTATCGTTCATTTTTGCCCAAGCAATGCCGGGCTCATTTTCTAGTTTACATATATTTGCATTTTAATTTGGATATTTAATTACAATATATTCATATCATTTAAGTTCATAAATTGTATTGTGTTATAAACATTTTTACAAATAGATAATTGGCAAATTTTCTGATTTGCAAATGATTTTATGGTCTTTTACACTATTCAATCTAAAGTTTATGAGAAATATTGCAATTTTTTCAAAAAATGTTTCAGACTTGAAAATTTTGAAATGCATTTTTTAAATTAATTAACACACAAATTCCAATATTTTTAGAGAAATTTGAATAATTTTTGGAAGAATTGCACTATTATTAGAAACTAGCAGGTGGGCCCGGCGTTGCTCGGACAAAAGTAACGATAACTAAGATAAAGATTATTACGTTACAGTCAACCTTACCCGTTTTCCCAGAATGCAAGAATTGGGTCCCCTTGTTTCCAGACTAATTAAAGAATTTATCGATAGGTGTAAAAATATGTTCAATTTCCCCCAAAAACGAAAAAACTGCATCTGCGTCTTGCACTTCGCTTTCTCTTAACAATTCCATTGTTACGTAACACTTCCATTGTTGACGCTTCCATTGCTACTTAGCACTTCCATTGTTACTTAACACTTCTATTGTTGATGGAAGTGTTAAGCCTTAAATCCTGTCTTTCTCCCCGTGGGGAGGAATTTCGAAAAATCCCTTCTTACTGTGCGTTCTCCTAACGTACCCTAACTGTGTACGAAATTTCAACTTTCAACTCCTAACCGTTTGGGCTTTGCTCTCATTATTATTATTATTATCAACCCGTCTCGATTATATATTAGACTCTGCCAAATAATACTGTAATCTGTCATAGTAAGAATTATGAAAACTTTGAATTAATCAGCAGAAATACTTCGGCTAATACGCTGCTTTACTAGAGCATGCTTGCAAATAAATAAAGGTCGAAAAGGATAAAAAAATACCATTTTTCATGAAAGGCTACTTTTTTATCAATTTGATATTTGTTTCGAAAAGTAATCATAAATATTTTCCAGAATCCTAAATAGTTTTACGAATTGCATCATAAATATATCGATGACCTAGCCCGAAACCTCTGAGTTATAAAATCACTTTATGGCCTGTTAAAATACGAAAATACACACACTTTAACACCAAAATCTTTTAATTAAAAATGTTTTAAAACACTTTAACGTTTTAATTACGAGAAAGCAGTTTAATTGTCAAAACCCAAAATTTTTATTGTTTTCTGCATTTTTGATGTGTCGGAAAATTTGCGTTACGATCTTTTTAGTCTAGGCTATCGATATGCAAAATGATATCTCGAAAACCAAAACGTGTTTACAACACCGGACAAAATCTTACAACGATAATTCGTTAACACTTCGTGGCATCAAAAAAGTTAAGAAAACGAGGACTACAGTGAATTGATCTTTTGTACAAAAGGACTAATAGCCGTTTATAGTGAATTTATAAGAAAATTTTGTTGAGTATTGATCTTTCAAGGAGAGAAAAGTGTATGCACGAATTACAGTACAAGTGCTTGATAATTTGCTATATGCAGATGAAACTGGAATAAACTTTTATTCGCATAAAGAACGTGGCTAAACGAAATTAATTCGAATATTACAGGTCCTTCAGAAACAGATAACAATGCTAGCTTTATGCAAATAATTAGTAGAAATAGCATCTTTGCGTCTTAATTAATGACTATAATACAGAAGTGTTTAAAAAGTTTCTTCGAGATAACTTTGATGTACTAAAAGACATTAATTTCAATTGCGTGTGTCGATTATGAATAATTGTCGCTTTAATCACAATGAATTAGTTAGTTAATGTTTAAGAAAGCAAAGTACAATTGTATTTCCTCTACTTGATTCATTTCAAGTGTGAGAAAATGGCATGTTGGCACTCTATTAAATAAAAATAAACACCAAAATAAATTTTTATAACAGTACGAAAGCTGATTTTACAAATCTAAGGAGTCCTGCAATAAGAAATCTTAAGATAGATTAAGAAAAAATTAAAAATATATTATATCATGACATAAAATAAGAATAATTCAGATATTGTAAATATGTAGTTTAACATTTACAAAAATATTTGTAACAGAATTCGTCATAGCAAACATATTTTCGCGATAAATTATAATGATATGATAATTTGTAATTTATATCGTGATAAATTGCAATTTTATTACCAATTATCATTACAAAACAGCATCTATAGTTAGTTTTAAATTAGCTTATGATGAATTTGTGACTAACAAGTAAGTTATTTTGGCTGAGTTTGGAGATGCCTTTTTCAAATGACAACACAGTGATACCCCATGCTTCAAATTTAATTCAATTTAGGAGGTCGCTTAACTGCGAATTGGTCGAAGTGAAAAGCAATGTTCCTGATAAGGAATAATGAAAATCGAATTAATTCATTCTTCGAATTTGAACAGTACCCATTTCGATAAACTTTAAACTGCAAATACACATTACTTAATGTAAAAATAACACAAATACACGCTCTAATAATAAATTTAAACTCGAAAAAAATAAATAAAATACGTAAGTAATGTACAATAAAATGAAAATTACATTTACCATCGTAAACTGACGACTTGGCCGCCAAATCTGCGAGTCCTTTACCGCTCTCGTGCTTCGTCTTAACTTTCTTTTTATTGTAATAGTGGGGAAATTTAACAAATTATTGCTAATGAGCATAGACAGATCTAGGTTTTTCGGGGCTTATTGAAGTCCAATGAAGTCCAATTTTTTCATAAATTAAGAAACTTTAAATTGGGATTTAAAATAATCAATCAATATATATAATAAAGGTAAGTGTACAATGTGCGTGCCGCTAAAACTCAAAAACGAGTCCCGATACGATCAAGGGAGATATATGGTGTGGTAGCCCTCTATTCCCCATCCATGAAGAAGGTTTCCGTTTTTACCTGAAGAACGCACTGTTGAAGATATAATTGCTGGAAGTTTTGCCCTCTAGAAATTTCTAGAACAGTCCAGAACATTCGACAGTATTCGAGAGCATTCCACAACATTCCAGAATGTTTCTGGTTGTTCTGGAACGTTCGAAAACATCTCGGAACATTCCAGAACACTCTCGAATGTTGTGGAATGTTCTGGAACATCGTGGACCATTCGAAGCCTTTTTTGCATCGGTGGGACTACCCATTAGTGGGGGTATATAAAGCAAGATTCATCGTGGGTTCGAACGTCAGTTTCTTATTAATGACAAAGGGAAGAACCGAAAAAAAAAGTGAAAATTCCAAAGTAGTGCAGTGAGTGAATTAAAACAGTGAAGTGTGAGTAGTCAAAGTGATACAATGACTGAATATAAATCGAAAATAAGGTGTGAAAACTGTGTAAAGTGTACTTAGTGTATTTGTTAATAAAAAGTTTATTTAATTTATATTTTGTACAATGCCCAAACTTAAAAGAGGAGGAGCTCTTGCCAGTTCTGAATTTTCTTTTGAATATTAAAGTTGATATCGTCGAAAATATTATTTTTAGTTGCCAAAATTGCCCTTTGAAATAACCACTCCGAATAATAATAAGAAGCGCAGAGTCCAAACGGTTAGCAGTTGAAGGTTGTTTTTTGGTACACAGTTAGGGTGCGTTACGAGAATGCACACTAAGAAGGGATTTTTCGAAATTCCCCCGCTGGGAGAGGTTTTTAACAATGGAAGTGGTTAACTAACAATTGAAGTGTTAAGAGAAAGCGACGTGCAAGATTACATGCGCAGATGCGGTTTTTTTGCGTTTTTACGGAAAATCGAACATATTTTTAGATCTATGTAAAAATTTTCTAATTAGTTTTGAAACGGGGGACCAAATTCTTGCATTCTGTGAAAACGGGTAAGATTGGCTATAATGTAATCTTAAATTAATCTTAATCTTAAATGTTTTCGAATAATCGAGGACCGTTATGTATGAGTAGTGGGGATGGCTTTTGGCTAAGTGTGACACATTTAGTCAAATTGTGTAATAATTTTTTCGCACAATTTTTTTTACACAATACATACGTAATATATACACTGTATTTATTGTCATGTTTAAGCTATTAATGTATGTACAGTACAGTACAGTACTACATATAAGTTGATTCACTAAATATAAATAGTAAACTACAGTATTTAATAAAGAATACTAAACAGGTAAGATAAAACAGTTCTCTACTTAATTATTAATTACAGATATTTTAAAAAAATAAACTGGTGTACTCCTTTTCGACACTCACAAGTCAAATAAAAACGCTTAACAGCTGGAATTTTCCGTAACAGGCCCAAGTTGAAATATCTTTAGACGTTTCTGAGACAGCTCTACTCTTTTGCTACCCGTACTTTATTTTCTTGGCACTTGCAGTGTTTCATTTACTTTCTATTATCATCAGCAGTTCCATCTATCAATTCTAAATAAAAGATTTTCAAAATATAAACGATTTATATTATAAAGTATGATACAAATTTCACGTCAAGTTTGAAGAAAATCTACACGTTTCAAAATTCATTAAGTATTTATCAAAATTTTTTAAGAAAAAGCAACAACTTTTAAAAAATTATGTAACTGTGCCCAAGTACTAATTATGCTTATTGGGGTACGGTTTTTCTCATATAAATATATAAGGATGAAGAAAATTGTTCATTTTTTCCCGGTTGTTGTATATATAACGAAGAAAAACATAGAAATCGTGTCAAATTTTATAATAATTAACAATATAAAAAGTTTCTATGATGAATGTTTATAATAGATAGCGCCAAAGACAATTTGTTTATTAATTAATAGTGTATGATTAAAAATATAAAAGTCATTTTTAAAATAAAATCACTTAACAGACGGGAAAGTTAGACAAATCTTTACTGTTCTTTTATTTTATATAAAGAAATTATACAGCATAGTATTCTGTTTTAAATAACATATACAATTAACTGTGTTCTATATAAAAGACAAAACGATATACTTGAAACATACTACTCTTTAAATTTAAATTTGTCATAATTTTGTATATATGGATGTAATATAGGAATTTCTTATTTGACCTTCTTCTCTAAAAACGATGAAACAGACTTTAATGTGTTAGCTACTGCTTTCTCGAACTTTTTACTTGAAGAGCTGTTTATTCCTGATTTTAAGTCTTTTAATTGTGACTTGAAGTGATGTTTCAATTTTTCAAATGGCGAACCATTTAGTTTATCAATCAAATCCGTAATTTGTTTGATATCTTTAGTTAGAAGCGATTTGTCCGGATTGGAAGTTTTTAAGTGAGCTTCCAGTGTTTTAATAGCTTCTATGACATCAACTGTATTTTGAATTATCTGTCTCTAAAAAAAATGAAAGCTTATTTTTATTATTTATTATACAAGTGGCAGTGGTTCTTAACTTGAAACGTACAATACTATTTCCAGTGGGCCCATCAGAAACGAGTAAATAAAAACAACTGAACTTGACAGCTGGCTATGGGTTCGCGCATAATCAACGTGCTGGCCACGTGCAGCTTTAGTGGTTCCTTTGTGTGGTTCATTTAAATAGTAGCCAGTTTTCCATAGAAAGTATTTGCAGCAAAAACCTTGTTGGCAAACTGCACATGTGATTAAGTTGCTTTATTCCGCAAGTTCATTTTTAGAAAATACTATTAATTTGAACTGAACTTTTTATATTATCTCAATAAAAACTCATTTCTAGAAATAATGTGTTGATAAAAAATGCAGAGGTAGAAATCATAGAACCACGCGGCCCCGATTAACTGTGAACGATCTTTCGCGGAAAACCAAAAGTCAGTTATTTCAATTCAAAATTTTCTCTTAAAAGAATATAGATAGATGACCGATATGATTCCATTGCAAACAGAAAACATATAATGAAAAGGACAAGACACTACTAATTTGAGAATGAAAGCAAATATTTTATACTAAATAAATTAAAAATACGAATAAACATTGCAGCCCGGCATTGTGACAAAGTCACAATACATAACTGCTAATTAAATATACAGACCTATATTTCAGTTGTAAAATTGTAAGTTCGACGTGTATGTTCTAACGAATTGACACAGACGTATTTTCATTCATAAACGTTCACTATACTGAAATTAAAGATCACCTACATACGCTACCTATACTAAAATTAATGGTCGTGTAATTACTTATACTTAAATTAAGAGTTGCCTAATGTTTTTTCTGTATTACAAGAAAACATGGGTTTACCTGCCTAGCTAAGTAAAATAATTAATAAAGATTGCTCTGGGGAAACAGGAGGCATTTATAAATTAAGGAATACAGACAGCGAAAAAGGCTAAGAACCACTGTTTTAAAAGAGTAGATTTAAAAAGATTCCTTTTAAAAAGTATACTAACCAAATCATCTATCAATGCGGCATCACCCTGAAAGTTGTACAACGAAACAATTCCTGTAAAAAATACAAATTATGATCGTTTCTGCAAAATTTAATATGTTTTTTTAAAAATATTTCGGTACATGCTTATAATTTCATCTTACCAACAAAAGTTAACACTATGAACAGCCTATTCATCTTGTATCAATCCAGTAATATTATGAATATTGAACTGCAGTTCTCTGCCTCTATTTATATATGTAGGAATCGGTAATATATTCATATTTTGTAAATATATTGACTGAAAAACCATGATAAGATAAAAAAATTACATGGCATTTATATTGTTACAAATATCTTAAAAGTGAAATTTCAGATGAATTGCAGCTTAGAATTGTAATCACAATAATGTTAAGTTAATTTGATAAACTCATCGAAGAATTTCATGATTTCATTTTATTTAATATATTTTGCTTTTTTTATTATATACACTAAACTGTTATTTAAAACTGTAAAATTAGGGATGATCAAACAACAATTTCATTGAAATAATAGTCTCGATATAGAGAAAAAGTATGCAGAAAGGATAGGAGATAAATGTGTTTGATGATTATAATTATGATAAATTTATCTTGTAATAATTATTATTACTGTAAAACCTCGATTTGAAGAACTTATTCGAACGAAAAACCGTTCTTTTATATTTTTAAAAATTATCTGTTAATTAATTATGTATAGAAATCATTTTAAAATTAACGGTATGTTAATTTTCACCTGCAGTACGTCATACGAATAGGAAGTTTTGTCCATAAAGTCAGAAGTGTGTTAAATTGATGTTTTGTTGTATTATTATTACAAATCGAAAGTCCGGATGCAAGCAGAGGGGCATACTAAATTTAAAATAAAAATAATAATATACTGAGTATTAAACTGTAAAACTATGAAATAAATATAAAATATTTTATATTGTTAATTTAAATAATAGTTAGGGGCGCTTCTAGTGCCCATTTTTGGCATACCATGACAGAAATAAACATAATGCCCTGTTTTTCAGCTTTATATAGTAGATTATTATTATTATTATGTTGGGTTTCGTGAGTTATACTCGGTTGACATCAATGGCTATGCACTATGCCGTACCAGTGTCAAGGCATGGCAACCAAAACAAAACTAAAGTAAAATAAGTGTGTCTGTGTCTATATCCAGTAATTTCCTAACAATATGGCGTGTATTCAATATCTATGGTGTAGTTGTTGTCTGTACGCTGTCATGTTATTATGTTGGGTTTTGTGAGTTATACTAGGTTCACACCGGTGGCTGTGTAACTATGCTGGACCAGAATCAAGGCATAGCAACCAAAACAAAACTAAAATTAAATAAGTGTGTCAGAGTGTGTGCCTGTATTCAGGAATTTCCTAACAATATGGCATGTATTCAATATAGTGGCCTTCTGTAGTGTGATGTATGTATTTCTATTCAATTGTAATGTTCACAGGCTTTTGTGAAGCGTGTGGGGTATCACACCTGTACAGGAGAGAACAACAGGTACAATAAGCACTCTATCCATCCTCCACAGATGCCTTATTTCCTGGGCGAGTTCTGTGTACTTGCTAATTTTTTCTGTGCATGTGTTTTGTACATTGTGAGTGTTTGGAATGGTTATGTCTATAATGTATGTGATTTTATTGTGTTTGTCAATGAGTGTGATGTCTGGTCTGTTGTGGTAAATTGTTTTATCTGTGATTATGGCTCTGTCGTAATACATTTTGTGCGTGTTATTTTCCAATACTGTCTGTGGAATATACTTGTAGTATGGTTCGTGGATGTCTGCCAATTTGTGTTTCTTTGCAAGCTCTTGGTGTATTATATTTGCTACTTGATTGTGTCTATGTAAGTAATCTGTCTGTGCCAAGAGCTTGCAACCAGAAGTGATGTGTTGTATAGTTTCTGGCATGATGTGACATTTTCTGCATGTGTCATTTGTGAGTGTTGTATCTTTGAGTATGTGTTTTCTGTAGTTTTTAGTATTTATGACCTGATCCTGTATGGCAATCATGAATCCTTCCGTCTCCCCAAAGAGGCATCCCCGATCTAACCAGCTGTTTGACGCAGTTTTGTCAACAAAATCCTGGGCCAGGTCGTAAGGATGCCTGCCATGGAGAGCCTTTTGAGCCCATGATTGCTTAATGTTGTCTATGCTTTTTATATGTTGTGTCATGTCTGTATGTTGTGAGTGTAAGTTTAATGGTGTGTTATTTGAGTCTGCTAGAGTTACTGCTTTATGTAACTGTGATGTTTCTTGTTTCTTGTAGAAAAACTCTCGCAGTGACTGTATTTGTTTGTAGTGAAGGTTAACTATGTCAATCAGGCCACGTCCGCCTTCTTTACGTGGAAGGGTTAATCTTTCTGTGGCGGATTTAGGATGATGTTGTTTATGCTTAGTAAGTGTTGTTCTTGTTTTCCTTTGGAGTTGCTCGAGATCTGTGTGAGTCCAATGTATAACTCCAAAAGAGTATGTGAGTACTGGGATGACATATGTGTTTATTGCTTTAACTGTGTGTTTTGCATTTAACTGTGTTCTAAGTATAGCGTTTAACCTACTTTGGTATTCTTTAATTAATCGTTGCTTTATTTGTGTATGTTCTGTTAGTTTGGCCTGTTGGAATCCTAAGTACTTGTAGAACTCGCCCTCTTCCATGGATTCAATAACGTCTCCATTTCCAAGTGCAAAATCTTCTTTCTTCAGGATTCCTTTTTCTATGTGAAGTGTTTTGCATTTGTCTAAGCCAAACTCCATTTGTATGTCCTTAGTGTATGAATGTGTGATTTGTAGGAGTTGATGAAGTTGTTTTTGTGTGGATGCATAAAGTTTTATGTCGTCCATGTACATGAGATGTGAGAGTGTAAACTGTGTTGTTTTTTCGTGTCTGATATTGTAGCCGTATTGCGTGTTGTTTAACATGTTGGATAATGGATTCAGGGCTAGGCAGAACCAGAGAGGACTCAAGGAATCTCCTTGAAAAATTCCTCGCCTAATGAATATTTCGTTTGTTTGTATGGAAGTGTTACTAACCCTGAGATGTAGTGTTGTTCTCCAGTGCTGCATAGTGTTTTCGAAGAATGCAATGAGTGATGGATGTATTTTGTACATGTGTAGAATATGTAGCAGCCAACTGTGTGGAACACTGTCGAATGCTTTTCTGTAGTCTATATATGCCATGTGTATGTTTCTGTGTTGTTTGTGTGCTTGCCGTAGAATGGCTGAATCTATGAGTAACTGTTCTTTGCATCCCCTGTGATTTCTACGGCAACCTTTTTGTTGTTCTGTAAGAATGTCGTGTTCTTCAACATGTTTGTATATTTTGTTTGTGATACAGGATGTCAATAATTTGTATAGTGTTGGAAGACATGTAATTGGTCTGTATTGTGTGGGGTCTGTGGTGTTGTTGTTTTTAGGTTTCATGTAGGCGATGCCCTGAGTAAGAAATTTTGGCATGTCTTGTGGATTGATGATAATGTGTGTTAGATGTTTAGCTAGATGTAAACTTTTTGGTCTAGGCGATCGGTATGCAAAATGACACCTTGAAAGCCAAAACATGTTTACAACACCGGACGAAATCTTACAGCGATAATTCGTTAATACTTCGTGGCATCAAAAGAGTTAATAAAACCCGGATTAAAGTGAATAGATCTTTTATACAAAAGGACAAATAACCATTTAAAGTGAATTTCTAAGAAAATTTTGTTGAGTATTGGTCTTTCAACGAGAGAAAAGTGTATGCTCGAATTACGGAACAAATTCATGATAATTTGCTATTTGCTGATGAAACTGGAATAAACTTTTATTCGTATAAAGAACGTGGCTAAAAGAAATGAACTCGAATATATTACAGGTCCTTGAGAAACAGGTAACAATGTTAGCTTTATGCCCATAATTAGTATGAATAGCATCTTTGAGTCTTAACACAGAAGTGTTTAAAAAGTTTCTTCGAGATAACTTTAATGTAATAAAAGGCATCAATTTGGATTGCATGTGTCGATTATGAATAATCGTCGTTTTCTATCACAGTGAATTGGTTATTGAATATTTGAGGAAGGAAAAGTACAGTTATATTTTTTTTCCACCTGATTCTCTTCAAAGAAATCCAATTGAAAAAGAGTTTTCTGTATTGACATTATAACTCATGACCCAACCTACTAATACTAATGAGATGATATTCTGTATTGAGCCTAAAATTGATGATATGAATAGAGAACCAAGCTATGCAAATTTTTACGATTACGTTACAGGCTACATAAGTATAATGAATATCCTTTCTTCGATTGCAATTCACTTTTTTACAGTCTTAATATTTATTGTGTATTACTTCACGCAATAATTACGATGAAAGTACGATTTTTGATTGTATTCCATTTGTCACTTCCAGTGAAGCACGTAATATGAGGCTTTCGGTATTTTACTGATATCTGTATGAATGTAATCGAACGTTTACAATGTTCAATTATTTGAGTAGGCCTACAGTATTCAATTTGGGAGTTAACTATGATATATACAGTGAAACCTATGTAAACTGGAGTGATACAGTATCGAATATTTTTTTTCGGTTTGACAGATTTCTATTTTGAACAGGTTTTTTAACACAGAAAATCAATTTTTTTAATAATTTCTTTTTGTTTAGGCAAATTTCTGCTTTATTCAGGTGCAGATTTGGACAGAATATTGCGGAGGCGATCATAGATAATCGCGTCTGCAATATTGTGTCCATTACTCCAAAGCAGTGCGGCTTTGTCAGAGGCTGCAGGACCACAGATGCAATAAATGCGGCACGAATGCTTGTTGAAAAGCACCGGAAGAAGAACAGCACCATACATATGGCATTCCTGGACTTCGATAGGATCCAGGAATTTTACTGGCGAGTTCTGCGAAACCATGAAATCCCTGAAGTTTATGCGAAGTGGACTCAAATGCTTATCACAATGTCACAATTTCTGTCTTGCGGGAATTTCACCACCATTTACAATTAATATTGGAGTTCACCAGGGATCTGCGCTGTCGCCTCTGCTGTTTATTTTGTTTATGGATACAACAACTGCTGATATACAAACGCCCCACCCATCGTCCCTCCTGTAAGCAGACAATGTGGCCCTTATCAGTGAGACTCGGGACAACTTGCAACACCAAATACAAGAATAGAATGATTGCCTAGAGGCAAACGGCTTGCGACAGAATCTTGGGAAAACTAAGTGAGCAGCAAAATTTTGGCGCTATCAATGTCAGTGGTCTAGAACTCCCAAAACCATCCATTTTAAATATCTGGGCTCCTTGATTAAGTCTGATGGAGACACCTTTCCTGATATACAGGCACGAATAAACGCGGCATAGTTGCAAGGCATGAGCATCTTTATGGAATGGAGCTGAAAATGCTTCTCTGGTCGTTAGGAGTCACTCGACTTGACCATGTTGCGAACACAGATGTCCGCAAGATCATAGGAGTGGCGCCAATTACTAAAAAAATGTGTCAGACCCGTCTGGCTGGTATGGCCATGTAGTCAGAAGCAGTGAATAATCTGTTGAAAAAATGGTCATCCATCTCAATCCAGCTGGACATCGCGGGAGGACCAGGAAACGTTGGATGGACAAGATAAGGTAAGACATACAGCTAGTGTCGCCCCGGATGACGCCTTGGATCGAAAGAAATGGAGATTGGCGTGCCAAAATGTGACCCTGCACCACAGCGGGCCTAATGCTAGGACAGAGAGCTTTGGACAGGTTCAACCTGTATTAGGAAATACCGTATTATAGTATGATGAGATATAAAATTATAAAATATAGGAATCATCGACAACCACGAATTAGCTTGTGTTTTGCAATCGTGTTTTTCGAAATGTCTAAAAAATTTTACTTTAATTTTGAAATCTGTTTATTAATTAATATCGATAGTTATAGAGATTTTATTGGCAGTTAACTCGCAACAAGAAGCATATCAACTAAACAGTTCCCTTTAATAAAAGGTATGTGACCTATTCTTACTAAATGTGCTCTATTTTCTGAAAAGCTTTCATGTAGTAATTTTGACTCAATTTTTAAATGATACTTAATATTTTTCCAATATTTCTGCTATTTCAGACATGTTTTTTTAATATTTTGATAAACCTGGACTATTCTTGCATAATTTGCAAGATTTTTTAAAATCCATTTACTTACTGCAAACTTAATTAATGTGGCATTCAAAACGAAGTGGGAAGAAAATGATTACATTATATATTCATATACTAAACAATACTTTATTTTCTGAACCTTTCATAACAAGAGTGCAATAAGGAAGCTGTTACTTGAGAACTTCTAATAGTCGTGAAGTTTGCCGCCCACCAGTCGACGAAAGCACGGAACACAGGCAATTGGTCGTAGATTCGTGACTTACCAATTGATTTGTCGTTTTGTGTTTCTCGGGTCTTTTTATCGCATCAAACACCTAGTTTCTCATAAAACGTTTCCTTCGGAGTCATCGTCTCCCTACCAGTTCGCCCATGAAAACTTGAGAGATTTTTAAATTATCAATTCAATCTAATCCATTGATCTGCCGTTATTCTCTAGTTCGGCAGGAAAACAAAAAATTTCATGGATAAGTCAATTTATGTATATTAGGCTCAGGAAGTCAGGATTTAATGCTCGTCCTTTCATTATGGCCTTAAGAAACCCGTAATATGCAAGAAATGAACACTTTTAGTGCTTGATGATGAAAAAAATAATATATCAAAATATTTAAATTAAAACTTTTATGTTTATCTTCTCTTTAATTTTAAGCATAAACAAGTTGTGTTTCAACACGGATGTTAAACTGGTTTAGGGAGAAATTTAAAGTACGTTACCACGTTTGTGTTTTCGTGCGAACTGTAAAGCCGAAACAGAAAGCCCATGCCTCAGAGCTTAGTTTCGTTTTCCTAGAAAATACCCAGATTTTTATTTACAATTTTACAATGTTTCATAATTTTACAAAACAGTTACATTCAAAAAAATGTTTCGTCGTATCACGCAACTTCTTACGAATTAAGTCCAGAAAAAATCTTTAATAAGAAGCCAATATTTTGCATATTTGATTGCATTTAAAAGATTTATTTAAGATTTTGTCAGGTTTATAATTTTCGAAAAAGCCGTCATACTGAAAATGGACTCAGATTACACATAACAAAACGTTACGAATAAAAACACAAATAGGTTTTTGTAAAATTGATAAGAAAAAAATTCAATAACAGACAAAAAATAACAATAAAGCTTCAATGTTAATATGCATTCTTTCCGAAAAAAATTTCGTTAGAAATGACTTGCGTTTATATTTTAATTTTCATTTTATTTCTTCCACTGATTTTGTGAAAGGCTTCATCCGTTTCACGTAGAAATGTAAATTCAGTCGACTGCAGAACAGAAGACAAAAGTTATCATAGTATGTCCGGTGAGAAATGGGGTTTGTAATTTGTGTTAATTATGAAAATTATGTCAAGATTATATCCACTACTCTCTATTCTCAATTTAACTCTTAAAAAATTAAATGTGAAATTAAATTCTTTAAAAAATTAAAAACACCAACATTTGGATTTATACAAATAGCTAATGGCAAACTAACATTTTTGAAATTTTATTAAGTTCAATCAATTAGAAGGGTGCTAAATGCGAAGAAAATTAAAAAAAAATTCATTTTGTCCCTTCATACTTTTGTCAAAATTTTAAGTACTACATTTAAACATTCGATATAAAAATACATTAAATCTGAATTAACAGATAAATCATATGATGGGAATTAATTCTTAAGAAAATATCATTAATTAACAATTAAAACAGGAAATAAAATAATATATAGATATATTAGTTAATATGAAACGTTTTGACTTTCTCAGAAGTTATACAGTATATTAATAAATTACAATGTTTTTATTTAATATTTAGTGTTTTGAAAATTGCTTAAGAAATAATTATCGATTGTACTTTATGAACTACTATTTCCAAACAATTTTAATTACAATATAATTTAAGAACTTATAATTGAAATTACAAACGTTTCTGCTTTATCATATAAATTACCGCAAGACTTACAAAATTCAGATTTAGAAATAGCATTTTTAAAGGTATATACGAGAGTCTTTTCTCCATTTTCAACAATTCTCCAAATATCTCATTACCGACAGCCAACATACAAGATGAATAAAATATTATTCATTTACGCTTTCTTAGGTAAGAGATTTTAACTTAAATTCTTATTCGTATTAATTATTAAATACTTTTTTATTATATTATTATGTTTACAACAATTATTCGTAGGAATTATTTTATCATACAATGTTGATGGAGCTGTTGTAGCAAAAAGCAAATATTATGAGGTAAAATAATTTTACAATAGATATAAATTGTATACGTAATTTACATTCATATGTCAGTTACTAAGCTTCTATTCTTTTCAGAAAGCAGAATTATTTTCTAATCCATTTAAGTCTGAAAAACCCGTAAATGAACTGAAAAAAGCCATTGAATCTTTAATATCTCATTTAGAAAACAACGACCCGAACAAAACACTTTTAGCTCAAGACATTGAGAACATTAGAAAAGCTGTCGATAAAGTAAATGATAATTTACTTAAAAGTATGGCAGAAGAATTGATAAACAAATTAAATGATTTGAAATCGGAAGTGAAAGATGCTTCAAAACAAGTCCTTTTAGATGCAAGTAAAAAAGTACTGAAAGAAGTTAAATCCGTTTGGAAAAAGATCAAGGAAAAATTTATGTCTATATTTTCCTAAAACAAATCGTAAAAAATTGATTTTATATGAATTTAATTTTATTTAGAAACAATTCTGATATTTATGTATGATGTTGGCTGCATACTTTATTTGTAAATAATTATGAATGTGGTTTAAAATATGAAACTTTGTAATTAGTTATGTTACACATTATTAAGAGATAATAAATTCAAGTATTGTGATTAATTATGTTTTTGGTATACATTATCAGAACGGTTATCCGTAAAGTTTTTATTTTTTGAAGTTTTTGTTACTTTCGTTGAATAGTATGATTTTGCTCTTTTCTTGAACTGACGGTTTCTCTCTCAAACGATTTCATATCACGATATGTCTTAACTCCATCCGCATCTGAACTTAGCTTTTATTTTGTTTATTAAACAAATTGTTTTACTTTATTGAATAAATAAAAAATGTAATTTCAAAAATATGTGAATTTATTTTGAGTAAGATGTATCACATTTACACCTACAATTTATGGCTTTTATTTAAGCTATAAATTGCTGAAAATCATACGAAATAGATAGAATTCTAGTGCATATATAACAAATAGTAGACGTTTGTTTCAATGATAAAAAGTAAGCTTAATTCTGCGACATACAGTCTTATTCTCTACGCAGTTTTGAAATCTACTTACCCTATATTGTTTTTTTGATAGTGAGCCTATTTTAATTACAACGGAAAGAAAATCGATACCATGTGATGAAATTACAATTCATATTAAAAGTGCATTAACAGGTGTTAAAGCATCCGAAATTGCATCGAGTTTAGGTATTAGCAAAAATACTGTCTACAGATGTGTAAGAAAAGAGGAAGTATAAGATAGCCTACTTTTTTAATCGACATCCAGAATGAGGAATACAAGTAAAAATCACGGCGAAAAAGTTTAGATTTTCAATGTTCTCTGGACGAGATCATACACGACGATAATTCGCAACCACGCATAATGACGATTACAGTGAATCGACAATATGAATGTTTTTGAAACATAAGGGTATTACAAGGAAGCATGTAAGACGAATTTTTACTCTAATTTTGCAATAAGTTTGATAAATTTTGGTATGTTTCTGTCATGATACAAGCAAATGTTGAAATCAGTGTTATACTTACTAAAATGTTTCCTATAATAATGAAATTTGTATGTCCATTCTTACAAAATTTACGTAAAAGTTTTTATTTTATTATATTTTACGAAAAAGTTTCCTGTAATAGTTCATTACTTTCGGAGGTTTTTGAAATCTGTGTAATAATTTTGAAATTTGCTGCTATTTAAGAAACGTGAACTATTTTACTTAAAATTTGCAATATTTTGTATATTCTTTCGCCTAAATAGTGGCAAGGAATGTAAAATTAAAACTGCTTTAATATCTATAATTTTGGTTTTCTTGAAAATTAAGATATGTACTGTACTTTCTTACACAGAGATGTATAACAGTCTCCTAGTATCTGGAAAGAAGGAGGAGAAGAAACAAGTAAGAGAAGTGTATTGTATTCCGAATGTGTCCCGAACATCGAAGTTGCTTATGAAGCACTAGGATGAAAGTAAAATCTTCCTTTTATCGGCGAAACACGGGTAAAGAATTATAGTGTTTGAAACTTGTAACTGGAAGTGAGGCATAACAAATGCTGAATAATTGATAATCGTAATAAATTACAATTATTTATTACGATTATTTTGAGAAGTTTGTTTTTACAAAGTTTTCCTGATTAGTGACTAAAATTTCAGTTGATTTGTAATTTAAAATAATTATAAAATATTATGATGAAGCAAAAAGAAATTAGAGTGCTTACTAAATACATTGGCTTGTTATATCAGAAATAAAGTTTTTAATTTAAAAAGCTTATTAAAAGCTATAATTAGAAATATATAAATGATTAAAAGTATCGTACTTTTAAATTAAAGTTTTCTCTAATATTTAGAACATTTACTTTGATTGTTTCCTATAATAACTTTTATGAAAGTTATTCATTTTTGACAAGACTATGTCTTGTTTATAAAATCATACTGTCGTTTTATGTTACCAGCATAGAGGTATGAAGGAGTACATGTCGAGAGTTGATATTTGGCACAGAGTATTAGGTGCCCAAATCATTTGCTCATAAAAAAGTCTAGACTCGTAGGTAGTCAGGGGACCGAGAATCGAGTCAAAATAAAATACAAAATGGCGACCCTCTTCTACAAACAGGCAAAACAGTCACCTCACGCCACCGAAGTCAGGTGGGGGCGAGTATCACCCAGTCATTCTAAGAAGTGAACTCTGACCTTAGGACTGAACACGTAGTTTCTTCTATGTTAAATAAAATTTGTAAGCTAATTTTGTAAATTTCGGAGTTCTTCAAATATGGCGTTAAAACGGTTTTATGTCGTTACAAGTGGGTTTTTTAAACATTATCTAGTATAGTAAAATCGTCGGACCGATAAAAATTTGACATGTAGGGAAGAGAGTGACACCGCGTGACTTTCGCCCTTTGAACCTCACTTTGCAACTAAACTCTAACGAGGAGAGACATCTTTTTACTTTATTTAGTTAACCTTTCACTTCGACAGCTTCGATCTTGGATTTATATTATATCTCGACACTATTGTAAATATCGTTTAGCCGATCCAAATTAAGTAAATTATTTGCCTGGATCATTTCTCAGTTAATTGTTACCGGCAGAACACGTGGTCGAGGTTAGCATGGACATCACGGACAAGGTAGGACGTGCCACGTACAGATTTTAGCCACGTCACTAAATACGTTATATTAGGGTTGTCGTTACATCCAATGACGTTATTATCGGGTTAAGCTGTATATTGTTTGTGCAAAATAAAAAAGTAATTTCGGACAACACAGTAGCCACGATTATTTTTTTCAAAAACGGGAAATTTTCGTTACGCATCGACAAAAATTCAACCCGGGCCGTCACGCAACGAAAAGAAATTTCGACATTGGATAGGAATCGAAAACGCATCGTGGACGACCTCGTGGTCGTGGCCGGCGAAGTTTGAACGATTGCGCTCAAAAGCAGCGATACCAAAGAAGTGCATATATAACAAATAGTAGACGTTTGTTTCAATGATAAAAAGTAAGCTTAATTCCGCGACATACAGTCTTATTCTCTACGCAGTTTTGAAATCTACTTACCCTATATTGTTTTTTTGATAGTGAGCCTATTTTAATTACAACGGAAAGAAAATCGATACCATGTGATGAAATTACAATTCATATTAAAAGTGCATTAACAGGTGTTAAAGCATCCNGTTTTCCGAAATCGATCTATCGTCGACTGTAAATTTTCTGTAAAATTCCTTCCCTATTAACTTCGATACAGTTTACCAATTAAGTGGTAAATTAATTTCCTAATTTCCTTCATTTATTAAACAAATAAATAAAGCTACTTTTTCTTCATCTCAACTCTTACATATTCAGTTTCTGTTTTGGTGCATAAACTGTTTTCTGACAAATAGAAGTTAATTACTTAATATTTTTGCTCTGCTGTCACCTGAAAAATCAGTGTTGTTTAGTAATTTCGGTATATTCTGATATTTTTTGTTAAAATCCAGTGTTAACAAGATTTCTTGTGCTAATAATGGACACATAGTACTTACATTATTATTATTTATTATTTTTATTGTGTTTAAAGAGATGTTTTTTCCGCTCGGGCAACATCATCATGATATATCAAAATCAGCTAATTAATTACGAACAATATTTCTAAATTTAAAGTAATTTTCTGTAAACAATATTGGGTATATATATTGAAGACAAGTCAAATCAAAAATAAACTTTATTAACAAATATGACACCCCAAGTCACAATCAGGTAAAGGTTAAATGTGGAATTACATTGAGATTACATGCAGAATGATGATAAAGAGTTATAGTAAACACTCATCGATGCAATAAAATGAAAATAAAATAAAAAAATTAAAAATAGAAAGAGATTAATAAGGGAAATATAACTAATATTAAGAATAAAAAGAAAGAGAGGCGTATGTACTGTACATACAACAGTGCATAGTTACACAAAATTTAGGCTGGAGGTTATACAATTCAGAGGTATTGACGTAAAGACAGGAAGAGGTGAACGCTTCAAACAGTAGGAATATAAAATAAAGTAATAAAGTAATAACAAATAGTAAAAGATAGTAATAAGAAAAGAATATAGGTAAAATAATACTAAAGTACAACTAGCATTAAATAATAATACACAAAAGTTACAATGAGGACTAAATGCAAATGTTTAGTAGGTCAGTAGTTTTAAACAGATCAACAGAGGCGGTGCGTATATACAAATAAATGAAATCCGTCCGAAAACAATTGGCGATAACCGAAACCGACAAAAACCGAGGGAATTATATTCATATAAATTAATGTAAATCCAATTAATTAATTTTAAACACGTTTTATAATTAATTAATACTAAAAACACATTTTATAGAGAATGTATATAGAGAACATATATATGTTTATTACTAAAAACAATACGAAAATAATATAAAATAAATATAATACACTAATGTAAAGAATAAATGAACATTTAAAATGGCATTCGAAGGGCAGCTGCCTCTAGAAATTTTCTTTGGTTCCGTAATAGAGTTTGTTTGTTTAGTTAAGTTACGGCAACGCAACACTTGCGCGATCTGCCTAGAGGTAATGTCTTTCGGGGATCTTTTTAAGGGTAACTGGTCCCTATTCAACCGTTACAGACGTGGAAGAAACCCGGAAAACTCCACGTAGCCAGCCCGTTCTAGCGAGGCGCTGACACATGACCGAACTCCCAGTGTTCAGGGAATGGAACCGATTGTTCACTAGTCGGCCTTCATGACGAAACTAAACGGAAAGCAAAGCAATGGAATTGTTTCGCTAGTTGCGCGGGATAATACTCACACAACGAGAAACAACACCACTCTGAGCAGGAAAACGTGTAGGTCGCCCTTTGTTTTCGCAAAATTAGCAGCAAAATCATCTAGGTACGCCGACGAAATCCGAGGAAACTGACGAAAACTGAAATTTTTCGCGAAAAAATCGACGAAAACTGAGGTATTACTGTATTACATTGACGCATTGTACTTCGTATTCTTAAATATATTTTA